GCATTTAATTAATGAATAGGAAGTTACAGAAGAATGATGAAAGTGAAATAAAATATTTGAAAGATGATTATGACAATGGTAAGGACTAGCTCAAAGACACTTGGTGCTAATACAAAAAATAATCAACAGCTTAAAAAAAACCAGAAGAAGCAAGTACTTACTTATTGAGTATGAAAAATTAATTGTTAAGATCATGGTAGAGTGAGAAATTGCACGTGTTGGTTTTGCACACAAAGTTCTGATGTGAAAAGATCAATTCTTGTTGCCCCTGCATTGCATAAGATGTTGAATTTAGTTGCTTGACCATGTGGATGATCCTGAAAGATATATCTGTTAGAACAGTGTGATTGGAACTGACAAAATTCTCCAATACTTAGCTACCGATTTCTCACCTTCTCCTTTTGAGAATCATGAAGAACAATGCTCGCAGAGAACTCTCGCTTTTCGCTATCAGTATCACCTGTATATAACTCGCGTATAAAAGAATGATGTTTTTCCATAAAATATATTCTTCATAGTCAGAGGCCTATTTATCCTTTTTAATATTACGTGGTTTAATGAGACATAGAATTCCTGAGGAATGATAATTTTTTATTGACTTTTTTACCATAAATTCAAACCTGTTCTCGATTTTCAGTGTCTTGACAATTATTAGTAAACAAAACAATCAATGGTGCAAATTTATATACTTGTAATCTATAATTTTGAGATATTTACTTAGGAGTGTGAATGTGTATCAGCTTAACTTTTTACCTGCTCTTGATCTACTATCCTAATTGATCCTAGGCATTAGACAGCATGTTATCAGCGGGTTCTGATATGGATGGATGTAATGAGAAGTGATTAGAGTGATATAAAGGAAGTTGAACAAACAATTTATTTGACCGGTTAACTTATGTAAATCATACTTTGAGTCCCATACGAACTGTTGGTGCTTGACACATATTTTATTTATCCTATGCATTTGGTTTTTCATTTACCACTAATGAATTTCCGCAAATTTTAACCTATACCGGACTAGTTAGCACTGTTGAGCAATATGACACCCATCGGTCTTTGGCTTTTTACATTTTTCGAAACTTCCGAAATCTAGCACGCCAGGTGATTTGTATCGAAAAATATAGTGCCGAAGCTATTTCTGGCAAAATTCTCAATAATTTTCTTCTTACAAGCAGAGATAGATGGTAGTTAGCAGTCGAATCCTTTTCTGAATGTACCTGGCGCCCAGAATTGATGCTCACTCCGCGACTTGAACCTCGTACCATTCGCTTCAAATGCCATTGCGTTATCCACTTAGCCAATGAAAGACCAGTCATTCGTACTGCTAAACATCAATGAGAGAACTCAAACATACATTACAAATGAATTCTTTTCTTGCTGGAGCATAAGTTTGACTCTTCCTAACGAATATTTAGTAAACAACTTAATAAATTGATCACAAGATACATTCTTTGAAAGTATGTACACATGATGCATACTATTTTCACGTTAAAGATGGGAGAACCCATTCAGTAGGATTTAAGTGTAATGGTGAAGACCTAAGTTTAGGGTTTCCAGCTAGTTACCTCAGTCATCTAACGTAGTTCATCAGTTATTGTAATCAGTGTTTCAAAACACTTATGACAGCGAAAACCAGTTTCTAAGCAGATTTTAAATCGGTAATATACATAATATCAGCTTGGTATTCTCTTGACACTTTGAAGAGCCGTTCGCCAATTCACACCTGAACTTGTACATGACCTTTTGATGAACGAGAAGTACTTGACTATCCTAACTTCAATTTGATTAGCTCAATCTAGATTAGATGGTGTGAGACGATGGTTGATTGCTATTTATATTATCTGAAACATACTCATTTTATAAACTAAGACGTCAACGTGAATGGCAATTCGATATAGTGTCTAAGACGGTTGAGTCACGGTTGAACTTTCGCGAGTAATATGATTTAAATCTTAGTGGGACTTAAATTCACTTTATTTTTATTATCATCCCTATACATAAAAACTTACCTACAAGATTATCTTAATTAGTCTTATTTATATCCATTATCCCCAAGATACTTCTCAGAAATACAACTTATAATTTATTTGTAAACATAACTTCTTTTGTGTAGTAGAAATGAATGGAGACTGAACCTCATTCATAACTGATTAGTCAAATTTTAAGTACTGGTTTGCTGAAGTGTCTTCCTACGGATAACTAGTTTTTGATTTTACCACCATTTAAATATCCTAGACTTGATTTGACATCCTATTTTAGATCGATTCAACTCAAAGTAAAAACGAATTCCAGCACATTACTCGTTTGTTACTAAATGATCAGGGTAGTGTTATTCTATAGGTCATAATATTTGTTAACCGTTAGTTTGGTTTTCCATAGCGTCATAACTAAGGTTGATTTTTGTCAATATATCTGAGACTGGAAGTCTCAAGTTTATTCTCAAAGTGGGAATCGATGCGTTTTGTACAAATGGCCGTAGATATTTTATTTTTTCTTGGCTGATGGAGGATGGTGAAAATAATATCGGATTAGTAAGGTGGAGTAGTTTAGTGTAGTCTAAAGAATGTGAAGTCTCGTCACAGCTTACATTGGTATGTAATGATAATAGATCGCTGAAATATTTTCACATTCTGGGTTGTTTCTAAAAATCGAGATATTTGTCAGGTATTCCTATTTCAGTGAAAATTGAACCATTCAAAATTAGTAACTTATTTTGAAATTACTGTTGCTTTTCTATCTAGACAAACCAGACCAGTTGATCTCTGTTTAACTCTCCTAATACTGGTTTATGCTCCATAGTTAGAATTAACGATCACAGATATAAAGGGGTTTTTAGAAAATTAACTATATAAATGAATTATGGTTGAAACTAGTCACATTTGTTTTCATCCGTAGACTTCAAACAATTGATTTATCTAATGATATTCTCATAATGGTTCGAGTGCTAACTTCTAATCCATAAAGTTAGGCTTTCATTCAATCACTTTTTCATAAAGGCATTAGTTAATGGGTTGGCATATATTATTAATTTATTTTGTTGTACTCGACAAATGAAAGGATTACTACGCTAGTCATCATTACGTATACTACGGTTTCTCTAAATTCAATTGGTCACAAATCTTACCACAGTAGCATCAGTCACTTTGTTACTGTAGTGTTGCTTACAGAAGAGCAGATTATTTGAGAAAAAAGTTAAAAACATATTTGAATAACGGTATTCGGGTTTATAGAATTAATCATCTCGTTTTCTCCCCGACTTTAATTATTTTTGTTGTGGATACTGGCTTGGATTGCGTAACAATTCACCACTTAGTTTATCCTTTGGAATGTCAACGTTGCAGCATTCTACTAGCAATTTGAATATGTTGCCAACTGACGATGATTGACCACAATTTTTGAATACGTCAGTTATTCTTATACGTTGTTTTATGATTGAATTAAGGCGTGCAACAAACCTCAATTTTTAACAGAATGACTAATTTAAAGTAGATACCCGTTCGTTACTTTGTTTTATTTTCAAGCGTAAACTGATATATTTGCCCTGATTAAATGAGCATGCTACTCATTTATTGGTATCAATGTACCATTGAACCAGATTCAGCTTTGCTAAGTGAAAAAAATTATGTAGAGGCTTAGTGACAAGAAAGTTTCAGTTCACGAGAGCATCCTCTGCAACCATTCAATGGAACCTCACTGACATCGGTTCATCTTGATTTAATTTTTCGAAAACTCATTCATGTTGGATATTATCAATGATGGTGTGATTATTTCTCTCATGAACTATATTACCATATAATTTTCTACATATTCACTTACCTGATTTTCACATCAGTTGTTTGACATGTATTCCGAAATAATTTAAACACAAATATGTGACCTCTAAAGTGATGTTAGTTAATTTACATATAAATGATACATATGTCTTAACGTTCATTAGTTTTTTGCAGTTGTTTGGTGAAGATATATCGACCTTGCACACACACCTTCTGAAGATTCCGTCCGATTATGTATTTTGACCAAATACTTTTATATTACCTTTATCTGAGAGAAATACATTGATCCAGCCATATGAAGTTTGCTAAATTACTGTAAATGATGTTTAAATAAACATTTATCATACAGAGAAAGGTCAAGTTCTAGGAACATTTCAAAACAGGTGAATTATAGCAATAAGGTTGATTCACCTTTTTTCAAGGTCATTGACATTTATCATGTGCAAATAGAGAAAATAAAAAATAAGTTGCTGTATTCACCGTTAGAACACATGGATTGTGGCTAGCAATGAAAATGCATTTCGTCCTATTTGATATTTCCACTGTACGTATAACTTTAAACTCTGACGGAAACCCACTAAACTACCGAGTCCAGATGGCTACGGTCTTCATTAATGTTTTTGTTATCTCGTTGTTGATATTCAGGATTGGAATTTTCTCAATCTTTGTTGTTATTTATAAACTTTTGGGAATATTTCTGATAGGCTTTATTTGTTTTCCGCCTTTTTTGTTGACATGATCGAACTTATTATTGATTTCGTCTGACTAATCATTCGGTGAATGAAAACTAACAGAAAAACCTGTTTTTGTTATTATCAGTAATACACTACTTTACCGTCTGAACAGAGCTATCCTTCAAGGAAACAGTTTTAGTGATATTCGTAGCTGAGTAAAATCAGGTGTAATCTGATCAGTTGGCTGTGTGAGTTATTTTGTTTCCTATCTAAAATTAGTGTATTATCTGCATAGTAAGAACCAGGTCTGTTGAACAATATGTGAATACTCTGAATTTTTTATTAGATGTTTACGATTTTATCTGGGCTAACACACTCTTGTGGTCATGTAAGGCTTTTAATTGATAGCTAGGTTACTTAAAATTCTTTCAATAGGATGATAAGTTAATAATTCATTTACACCTTTTATAAGGCTTCAATTTAGTTACTCTGTTCGTATGGTGTAACTGAGCTCACTTGTCATGAAACAGCTTAGTGATAGTGTCAGATAATATTAAATGTAACTAACTTTAATTTATTATCTTCTGTAAAAATATACCGACTCTGAATTGATGAAAAATAATAAATAATTCGTACACAGCTTAACAGTTCTGTATTAAACAGTGGATGAAAGGAAGCATGCACCATGAATGTTATTCGTTCATAAAACATTAGAAAGTGAAAATATTTCAAGACAACCTCAACAATTAGCTGGAAACAAGATTGAAACCATTTTAAAATATTTTAAGTTTTTTAGATAACGTAAAGCTGCATAAAGCATATGATTTTCCATGATGATGAATAACAATTCAAGTGAAAAATTCTGTTCCAAAAGCATTTAGATGGTAGATATTTTGTTAGGAAAAGATATTTACTATAAACCCTCAAAAATTAGAGTCTGTTAACACATAATGAATCATAATTTACCATTTTACATCACATTTCTGGTTCATGAGGATAAAAATAGTGCATAGTGAGCTTCAATGTTCACTGGATCTATCTAAACATGAGCTGCTTCAGCTAATAGCCTTGGGATGAATCCCTGAAATTTATATAACGGAAATGTAACCGTTGAAACCAACAAAGTCAGATAAATATAAAACAATGACATCGGATGTTAGTAGCATTGTAGTCCAGTTAATTAAATCTGTCAAATATGGTCCACTATATTCCGCTTCATGAGGAATGGGAAATACTAGAGACGTTAGATTGTGAGCTCAATCTCATATGAAATTATTTTTCTCAAATAATCATAAAACGATAATACACTGAATTATAATTTGTAATAAATTTTCTTTAATTTTAAATCATTCCTTAATGCTATCTTCAAATTAAAACAAACACCTATAAGTATGTGACCAAGTTTAGTTCCAAACAGGCAAGTTCAGTCTCAAGATAAAATAGGCAGTCGTTTTTGAAAAAAAAGTTTTATAATTCCAGATTTATGAATAATACAGAATATACAATGGAACGGCATATTATTATTATTGTTATTATCATTATTATTATTAGTAGTAGTATTATGCAAATACGAATTGAGCACAGGTAAGGAAGTCATTATCTTTGTTTGTTATCTGGAAATGGTTTAATAAAGTTAAACACATAGCTAATAAATGAGATGAAGATATGACGAAGTTCTTTTTTTTTTCTGTTTTTTTCCGTACAGATAGTTTGTTTTACAATTTTACAATTACTTATGTATATACCTATCAATGTTGTAGTATGTTAAAGTCGTTATTTATTCAGCAGTTGTTTTACCAATGGTAAATAATTAAATCACTTTTCAATAATAAAAAAAGAAAAACAAACATTAATAAAACAGTTTAATCTCAAAAAATAGATTGGTATTCTATATTTAGTGCCTTATTACTATTAACAACAAAACTAGTTGTAAAATATACTCATAAATCTAATAGTGAATGTATATTGATGATGATTTAATTTTATTCTAATTTTCAGCTTGATGCACTTTGAACAGGTAAACTATAAGAGTTATTTGTTTGTTCACTATTCATGTTATCATTCTCGACAGTAATTTTATTAACATTGTTTACTGAATAATTTAGATTTCCATAGTGTTTATAAATATTTCGCTCATCAGAAACTAATGGTATTATTCCTAGGGTTTCTGCTGTATTTGTTGTTGTATTATTCAAACAATGAGTATTGTTTTTACTACTTGTACTACTACAAGGTTTTAATAAACATGATTTACTTTCTGGTAATGAAGCATAACCTCCAACAACATGTGCACATTCGGGACAGATTGCTAACCCTCTTAAGGAACTAGCCAAAATGGATGTGTTCATCAGATATTTATAATGAGCTTCATGAAAACCAACACAATTACAAGATATTTTATCTGAAATTGATGAATTGATACATGGCATTGGACTTGTATGTATACCAAGAAAATCATCATTGATACAACACAAAGGATTAATGATGTTTGGAGATTTAGTGTTCAGTGTTTGACTTTGTGTACTCTTTGAACGTTTACGATTTAAACGACAAAATTGTAGCTTTACTGAATTCCGAATCCGTTTATCATTTTCGTTACTATTATTATTATTGTAAATAATAATTTGATTGTTATTGGTGTTGGAAGTGTGACCAAGTTTACATTGATTTTCGTTATGTTGGCAGTTAGAAGTTGGAACGACTTGAGGATGAAATTGTTTATCTAAATTATCAGCTAATTTCCTACGTAGCTCATTTGTTCTTGTATCTGAATTCCATGAAGAATCTTTTGAATCTGAGCATAGAATTTTTAAGATGTTCGGACATTTATACTCACGTACATTTCTATAAAAACGTTGGGAAAGACGTTTAGTCGTACGACGAAACGTTGTAGAAACTAGAAAGTAGAGGAAAAAGTTTGATGCGCATCCCAGCAATTGAACCACATTAGTCCATTCTACTGTTAAATTTAATGTCATATATAGTATACGAGCATTTCTGTCATGGCGAACAAGCGAACCCATTTCGCTCATTACTTGGAGACAAGCAAAATGTACAATACCGAATGGAGCAGTGAACAGTAGAAATGCTATGATAACTGCAAGTAGTAATGGAGTGACACGATTTGTTGCTCTTTGTTGTAAACGCTGAGCTGATGATTTGCCTTGTGAGTTCGTACGCCAGCTACCAGTACCCACATGTTGTTGGTGCGTGTTATTCGAATCTCTTTGAAAATAATGAAGATAACGTTTTTGTAGTCTTGTTTGTGTACTAGAGTGTTCCTGAGTCACATTATTATTATTACATTTTTCAAATGTTTTATGGGAATCATATGTATATGATTTTCTGCATGCGTCACTTTGACGACACGCTCTAATCACCGAGACATTAGTTATAACTACACCAATAAATGGACCGATATTTGTCAAGATTATTTGACTAACAGTATATGCTATTCGTATACTTTCAGTCTTCCAGATCTCACGTTCGATAACAAATATTGTCACTGGATTATGTTTTTCGGTTTTGTTAAAATGTGTTCTGCTTGTATTTGTTGGATAACTCCTTCGGTGAGTTTGTTGTTCTGATTGTTGTATTGTTGAATTTAACATTCTTTTATGACTAACCTTTTCTTCACTATAGGTATATGTTAAAAATGATGGGATATGAAAAAGCAATGCCAGCAAATACAACAGAGTAATAATATGTAACATATGACGTGATGTAAGACATGCACGAGAGGCTAAAGGTCGACAAACTACCAGGTAGCGTACAATACTCATTAGTAATACCATCCAAACACTAACGGTTAGAAAATATGTCACAAGCCCAGGGCCATAAATAGTGTAATAAAGCATAAAATTATGACTTGTATAACGTCGTTGAACATAGCCCAATGGTAAAGATGTTAAACAAACAAGAAAATCAGCCAATGCTAGACCAAGTAAATTTACACGTGCTGTACATTCACCTCCAAATGTCACTTGAGACGTTGGATAAGCATGTAAAACAAGAAAATTTAAACAGTTTCCAATTATTCCTATGCATCCTATAAGTAAGGATAGAACAGGTAGTATAGTAAACTGTATACGTGCCCATTCAAGTGAATCGGTCGTGTTAGCCATAGATTTAGAAGACTTAGTTGATTGGTTATTTGCTTTCACGAGTACTGTAGTATTTATTGACAATACAGGATTTGATCCATTCTCTATATTGTTAATAATGTTACTACTTGATTGAGATGAAAAACTCAACATGATCATCTGTACCAAAATCAGATTTAAAATATTTCTGAGTACCCTTGGACTTCTGTAAAACAAAACAAGAAGACAGGGGACTTGATTAAAATTTCAACTAATAAAATAATAATTTTGAGAATAAGGATGGATTATATTTTCATTCAAAGAGTATGAAGATAAAAAATACATATTTATAATATTGAAACGGGTTTCTATTATTCGAAACACTTGGATGTATTCCCATCTAGTTGTATTAATTAAATTTTTATATATTTACTCATTGGAACTAAAATTACAGATGTGGTAGAACGTGCCTTGTGGTTAGTTTAGATTTGTTTGGGCGATAATAACATAATGCATTCCGCATATCTGATGGGGATATTAGTATTTTCCCTACGTTTATACAAATGATGATTATGATGATAGAGTTTATTATAGTTTGACAACAAATAAAAAGATCCAATTATTTGTTTTTCACTAAGGATACTTTTAAGTGAAAGTCGTAAGATATGTGTTTCACACTTTGAATCACCTTACCACTGGCTAAACATTCATAATTTCCAACCGTAAAATCTGGAAAAATAATTGTGTTGTCATTTTGAAATAGAATTTTTCAATGATTATTAGTTCAGTAAAGACGGACTAAGTAATTTAAAATATTTTCAAATGTAAGAAAAAATACATAAGGTAATTTTCGAATACTTTTCGGATGAACATTATTTAGTGTACTGAACAAGAATAGAATAAAAATATGAAGCTAAAACATTAAATTGAATGTCCCTTTTTGAGTTTAATTTGTCATGTTTTAGCACAAAAAAGAGATAGATTTTTGTACATAAATAACAGTGATTGTTAACTTTTTAAAAGAAAATCTTAATTAATTAATTCAAAGTAAACTGGGAAATAACATTTTAAAGAAAAATCGTAACTGAAGAATTCACCTGATGTTTCGGTGATTTCAAGCATTTAATCTTTTCATCTTAAAACACTACTCAACATCAATTTGTAGCATGTAGAATATAAAATTTAGTTTAGTTTCTCTTTGATAAAAGGGATGAATAAGTGATGAACATTATGAATAATCTCTGAGTATCCATTAAACTTTACCATTCCAATTTAAAAAAACATTATAAAGAATTTAGTGATTAAGTCATGTACTAGGAATGGTTTAAACCTAGTCTTATTCCTAGAGAGACAAAGCTAACCTCATATTTTGCACTCAACTTTGCGAACTATATCTATACAAATAAATAGATACTATTTTGTTAAAATAAACCTCCAACATTATCAATCATAATTTGTATAATAATTCATGTCAAATGTTTCATATTACTTTCATTTCTCATTGAAGGGGTCTACATGTCCTATTGGCTAAGTTCGCAAATTTATTCTAAACTGCGTTTACATATTTATTTAAAAAATAAAACATACATATTTAAACGTTACAGATTAAATCCTCATGAATATATTTATTCCTACTTAGCTTATGCATCAAAAAGAAAAGAAAAGAAAGATTGAAACGAAAAAAAGAAAGACCCCATTTTTGACGTTGTCATTTTTCGTAATTAGAAAAGTCAAGAAATTAAGTTTTCTTTTGTTGTTGTTGTTGATGGTAACTCTGTCCAGTGTTGTATTATTTAGAATATTCATTATAAGAAAAACTAAAGTACTCTAATCTATCATGTTCAAAAACAAAACAGTGAATAAGTTATTAAAAAAACTAAAAGATTTCGAAATTATGGAATATTTTTCTAACTACTTTAGAGATCTATAAAAGTACAGTATCTAAAATAGAATAAATTTAAAATGGTAAGTAATTTTAGTTTATAATGCATTTGCATATACGTAACATATATGTCAGAGGAAATGTAATCAAAACTGATAGAAAATTTCAGCAGGTAACCAATGTGATGTTTGATAACTGATGGGTATGTGAAAGTGGTTCACTGGAAATATTCTTTTCATAGTTTCTAAATATTTGAAACTTAATCTATTCAATGATCAGACTAATCAACTTAACAGTTATAGTGTAAGCATTGTCATTAGAAATCTAACAGTACTAACAATTCGGCTGTGATGATGAAAATCTTAAAATAGTTATTATTAAGAATAAACGATAAAATAACTTATTAGCATACTGAGATTCATTATTTTGAGAGGAAAAGTTTCAGAGAATATTTGAATCAACCTTTATTTAGTGGAAGCATTACATTTTTAAATCCTTGTTTATAGTTAATGACCACAAGTTGTTATCTTTGTTGTACACGTCATTCATTAATCAATTCACATAATAGAATTGTTTTCTTCTCTAGACTATGTCTTGTTGATTTCTGTAATACTGATAGAAAATATGAATATGTACTATGATTTGCATATTTCATCACGTCAACATTTCCTATTATATTCACTTTAATCACTGTTTATAAATACATATCTAAAGTTTTCTAGATATTATGCTTTCAATTTGGAAAATATAGTGTTAGAAAAAGTTTTGTCGAGGCTAGCGTTACTATGATCTACGTAAGTTGTCATTTACATCTTTTTAGTGTGTTTTAACATATTGGCTGAAATGTGAGTTAGTGAGGAGGTATTTGAACGTTCTTGATAACATAACTTAATGCTATTTACCATGTAATACAACTTGTATTTGCATATTTTTAAAAAAAATTCAATCCACCATCTCAAAATTTATTCATTTGAATAATCCGATGACAAGACGAATGTTATCAGAACTGTGTGATATATTAGTGTAATACATTTCGGACAATCTGATCACCAATCGACTTGTAAACGTGCAGTTGGGTACTTCTGGTGTTTTATGGTCGATATTTGAGGCTTAAAGTTTTGATTCAGAAAACTAATGCTAAACAATAATTTTACCGTCCAAGAACCATAATGTTAGACTACTACAATTAGTTATATATATAATCTAAAACAATTAGTCCCTTTGATAAATTTCGATAATGCAATGAGAAGACGTAGTTTATCAGAATTATGTGATATATTTCCGCAATACATTTCGAACAAATAATATTTTTCCTTTGTTATGACTTACCCTTAACCTGTCTAGTTGACCTTTTAATTTTTCATATATAAATGTTCTTAACAAGTATATGTGTGATCAGATTGTTCGAAATGTATTGCGCAAATATATCACATAATTCTGATAAATTACGTCTTCTCATTGCATTATCGAAATATATATAATCGACTAAGAAATGTTATTGCAAATCCTCCTTTGACTTTTATCTACTTCGAAAATAAAATAAGGTATAATTACACTTACACTTCATACCTCATGTTTTATTCTTTGGTCAGTTAGCGGCATAAACAGTAGTTATATACTAATGAGTTAATCGTTTGTGTTGACCAGTAATTTTAGGTTGGTTTAAGTTTTTTACTCATTAGCTTTACAAGCAGACTTGCATATACGTAATCAGAAAGATCTTGATGTAGAACTGAGATGAGTGAGATTTGGTACAAAATGTATAACCACGTTTTAAAAAGTCAAAAAAGATGTTATCTCTTTAGAAACAATTAATTTAGTCGTCTTGAATGTGTCTACTTTCTCTTGATTGTAAAAAAGTTTCGCCTTTTAAAAATGTGAAAATATATATCTATGGCATTGATAAGTTTAGTCGTTCGCTTTTATCTCTGTATTAATAGATGGTATATTATATGACAGATAACCGGATATTAGTGTTAAACATAATAAACATAGAACGCCTTCAATGCGACATAAAAAATAATTGAAAGTACTTTGCTAGGATATGTTATACAGCATAGATCCAGCAAAGATATTTAATAAAATACAATGCAGTCTACTATGATGAAATACATGCCAAATCAACTTAAGATGCTCATTAATCAATTATTTCGAAGAAGATTGGACATTTTCGTGTTAAATCATTTGCTGTAAAATCCACATGAAGTAACAATGTGGATTTTGAATTTACAAAATACATAAATACTACCGACAAACCATATTAAAATGAAAAAAAACTTGACAAAATAGTCCCACATCTCTAACAAACATCTTGCCTCAAGGATGGCTTGTATTCCTTGTTGTTCAGGACGAGGTATAGAAGTCAGAACATAGTGGAGATTCGGTCTAGACCTTTGCTCAGTCTCAATGATCAGTCAAATTCCATCATTTTGTGACGGTCACTACCCTTAAGTTAACCATATATCAAGAACAACCTTGAAAATGAGTGAAGTGGCTTTACTGATATGATTGGTACAAAACATTAATCAGGTGGATAGACATTAACTAGTGTATGATGAGCAATTCATAACACTAAGATTGATAATGATCTCATAATTTGAAGAAGCAACTGAAACCCAAAAGATAATTTCTATATTATAGCTCAAACCATTTGGTTTAGAATATTTGTTTAAATAGGATAAAATTGATATGAATAAAGACATTATACATTCATACTTATATCCTTTACTTCTAATAAAGTCATATTTAGATAGAAATCCAAGAACCGAATATGGTAATATTCATAAGGTTAAAATATACTTTTATTCAAGTATTTAATTTCATAATCATCATGTCAAATTTACGCTGTTAATGATGGAGTGTTCATGAAAATGTATGTAAAAATGAGACAATTATATATTTTTTGTTTCTCGTTTCAGACAAATAAACACTGATCACTCACTACACTAGATATAATACCTTTTTAAATGAATGATATTTACTGATTTTTAAGCTATTTAGTATTACCTTTGAGATAAATGCATCAACTGACTACCTAAACTAGACAGTTTAAATAAAGACTAGTCAAGAACCTAGGTTTTGCTATTAAATATAAAATCATTTGCAAGAATCGGAAACGTTCACCAGACTCTATGGAAGTAGTCTTAAATTCAAAGACGGGGGATTTCAGGAAATCTAGATTTGTATTTGTTTTAGGATTCGTGATATAAATCTAAAGAATTCATCCCAACGAATAAGTAGTTGCCTACTTGGAGAGTGAAATTATTTCCTTTACTTTGGAGCTACATAAATCGTAGAGAAAATGATCTGAACACCTCAGTGTATAGAAAGACTTTCAAAGTTAA